TCCCAACCTTTCATCAAATATGTAATCTACTGTACATCCAAGTACTTATAATGGGCAATGTGCCGAATACGTTCCGTGACTATGGAGTCCGAACAACCGAACTCACCTTCATCTCAACCCGTTTGTAAAAATACTTGTGACCTTTCACTCAATGATACGGACTAGGAATTCTGTCTTAAGCTGTCCTTTTGGCCAATCTTTTTGTGCAACCTCATTAGCTATATTTGCGTTTTTTCACAATCCCATGAACGTCGGCATCTTTCTAAAAGCATGAAGGAACACCTTCCAGTGTGATTAGAAACGAGTTAAATAAAAAGGTGTACCAGGTCTATTTTCGCATAGACAAATTCACTGCGCAGATGCCTGTGAAGACATCAAGGTGATTTAATGCGCCCCCTCAAACCATCCCAAATCACTTGGCTAGCGTCTGTTGGCTTCGAAAGAGACCGCTGCGATTAGGTTACGCAAATCGGTCCTGTGTGCACACAGAGGAATTTCATACAGATGCCGCATTTGCCATGGCCTCAAACCGCCAAGCTAGCCGCCTGCATATAATTAACTTTCCCGGTGGTCACGAACCCCGGTGACGCTGATACAAAATCACGGACAGCAATTACGTTTTTCACCTGCTTTCCCCTCTCCTGACAACGGTATAATTTTCTGTCAACTTCCCTGCATATTTTTTTTAGTTTTCTACAGCAATATAAATGTACACCGAACGCAGACATATGCTTACCAAAATATATTTTGCATTTCCAAGCGGGTATTTTTGTATTACTCAAACACGGCTGCCTGAAAGCCTATTTTACTTTTGGAAATTACCTATAAATGAGTAGTGTGATCCAAACCACCCGAGTGAAACATTTTTTCGGCTTCAGTAGAGATTTCAAAAGTCTGCCAGAGAACAGACGACATATGAGTGTTATTGGCGCGAATCCTCTTGACTACACTATACGATGGTGTGCATGGCTGTATGTTTTCAATGTGTCCCGAACAATGTGGCAATATTTATTAAGGTAAAAAACAGCCTAAAATAGCATAAGTTGCCATCACGAATGTACTAGTTGCCTCAGCGGATACCTTAAATGCCAGTAATAGCTGTTGTCGACAAAAGAAATTATCGGGAGAATACATTGTAGCTTGGAAAGTTTGCAGACCTTTACGGACTTTAAAAGGAATATTTGCCTGATTGTAATTTGCGGATTTCTTTTGACTTGACAAGATTGCAATCCAACTGTCGTTTAAAAAGTTTAATTTTAGAGAATATTTGTCACATTTCGCAGTGAGTTGTGTGTGTGATGAGTTATGTGAATGGGGAGGCAAGTAGTTTTTTCTTACAGTCGTAATCTTCTCACACTTTGGGTGGTCTATTAGTGTCATCAACCTTTCTTTCAATCTTTCGAAAGTAAAAGCCTTTTTTAACTCAGAAACACTCGTCCTTTCAAGCAAATACTTTTCTTGTTACAATTTTAGCAGAAACCTGCTTTCAGCCCTAGTTGATTTTCTATAATCTAACGAAGTTTTTCTGACGGCGAAATTGTTGCTGCGCGAAGAAAACATGTAGCAGGCAGATTTTTAAATCATTTGAACTGCCACGAGGCAACCAATTGTAAAATGTACAGTGGAACCTCGCTTAGCAAGTTTTATCCGTTCCGGCACCGAGCTCTTCATGTGAGACCTTCGTCTTACGAACCTAAGTCAATCAAACTGCATCAGTTCATTGATTGGCTGCAGACGACCGAGGACTCAGACCCTAGAAGCAGGCCTCAGTGGCAAACCCAAGCGCACACGCACTGACAGCTGGTTAACTGAGCGGAAGCTAATCAATTTCCGCTGGTGGCTCGTTCGATTCCTGAAATGCTCGCGGATGGTGTTGCTCGTCACCCGAGGCTCAACTGTACACCGAATCGGACTGTGGTTGACCGCCTTCTGGGGGATTAGTATTTGCCTGCACTCATACTAGACAGCAAAAGGTTGAATTGAGCCATCAGTTAAGTACTAGTTTGATAACAAACATGAAAATCGAACCTGCTCAACTGGAAATACAATGAAAGGAAGAGAACTGCTCCCTATTAAATGAAGTGCGTGTTATCGGATCAGATGAAACATTTTGCGCATAGTACCCAATCAAGTAATGTAGAGCGCCCATTTAGTTTGGACTTGGTAGTTCAGGGCATCAAGAAAATTGCATATGATCCCCTTTTATATTGTTTTTGTGTTTACCGTAATAAGTTTTGAGATCAAGCGTATTTAACGCAATGTCTGTTGTGTCGAAAGGCTGTCTGTGTTTTGGACAAAGCAGTCTCCCACGGGCGATTTTATTTTATCTTTTTGGGGGTGCTTTTAGACCTCTGGATATTTCCATCAATGTCTAGTTATAGGGCGCTCAAAGTGTAACAGCTCCGATCTCATACATTCTGTGTGCATCATTTCGGAATAGCTGAAATATTTCAAACCTACCTACTGAGTTCCACTACATGTTGGTAAGCATGACCCGCTTGTCCATCTAAATAGGACAGGGGAACAGAAACCAACCACAGTGCATGCGCCTTTGCGCCAATTTCTGGTAAAATAGATTTAAGGTTGCGGTTAAGGGCAGAGTTCGGGTTTAGGGTCATGCGTGCGTTATAGGGTTAAGGTTTGGCTTCGCGCTAACTGTAGGGTTAAGAGTGAGAGTAGGGTTATGTTAAGGATTAAAGTTACGGTTTACGGTCAGAGTTACTGGTAGAGCTGTGGCGGACGGCCAACAATGCTGCCTCCTCCTTGTTCAACGCCCACTCCCAAAACATCATGCATCTTCGCAGGCAACCGTTCTAGATTCGCCGACCTGAAGACACTTGACCGACATCCATGCGCACACACACGCGCGTCCTAATAATTACGCCTGCTTAAAGGCCACTTGAACACGCCACACCTCGGCTGATGCAGCAGGAGTCTCAATACTCGACACTTCCTTTGGGTAATACAACATACTAATCATACGCCACTTGAACTCGCTTCACAATCATGTAAATCCACCGTCATCTCTCTTTCTCTTACACACATCTCCTTTGTTGACTTTGCCGCTGCGTTCGACTCTGTCCATCGTGAATCTCTATGGCGGATAATGACATTTGATGGTGTACCACCAAAAATAATTGCCATGATCAAGGCATACTACCGCCCCACCACTGCGCGGGTTCTAGTCCACAACAACCTCTTAGAACCCTTCGCTATTCGGGCAGGCGTTTGGCAAGGCTGTGTCCTGTCGCCTATTCTCTTTAACTACGCCATTGACTGGGTTCTCGGGAAAATGATGGTATTGAGCTTGAATTCGGGCGCCGGTTGACTGATCTTGACTATGCCGATGACATCGCTTTACTAGCATCAAGCTTTGGCGACCTACAATCTAGGGTGTCACGGGTGAAAGAGGTCGCGAAATCGGTCGGTTTGTCCATAAACGCTGGGAAGACCAAAGTTTTCTCATGTTGCATCCCTACCCAAGAGAAGGCGCATCTTGAGATC